CCGGGGAGCGGAAGCCATCCTCCAGCCACTGCGGGAGCGCCGGGTGAGAAGCAAGGGCTGCTCGGCCATTTGAGCTCTGATCGCTCCCTGCGGCGGCTTATGTTTCATTTCCCCAGTGGCTGGTTTACGGCCAAGTTCCCTGCTGATGCCTCGTGGGCTGAGCCGTGCTCCCACCCGGGGCAGGGCCGGGAGCCGCGGGGTGACCCATGGGGAGCTCGGCAGCTCCTTCCCCAGCAGGGAAGAGCATCGGAAGGGCCGTGGCTATCCCCCAGCTCGACACGGAGGCTCTCGAGGGAGGAAAATGGGCATTTTCAGATGGCCAGACAGGGCGGGATTGGGACCGGGTGCAGCTCTGTTATCTCCTCAGCCAGCCCTGAGGCGCCAAGCAGTTCGGAAACATCCTTGGAGGAGATAACCAAACCTTGGCAGGAGCCAAGCGCTGGGGGCTCCTCCCGGTCCGGGAGAGGAAGCCGTGCACCAGAGGAGCTGTATTTTCAGTTTTGCTGAGCCTGGCAGGGTGGTGGGAGGTGGGTTTGCACCCGCCGGCGCAGGGACACGGTGACGGTCCTGCCGGGATCCACAGGACCCCACGAAGCTGTCCCTGGCCACGGTGGTGGCCCGGTCCTCCTGCACTGCAGAGACCCCAGGAGCCCCTCTGCTCCCCATGGCGGCTGCAGGGTGTCACACCCCCGTGCTCCTTCCAGCCAGGTTGGGGTCACCCATCCTCGGTCCCCAATGTTGGTGTGGGGTACCCCAGGAGCCAGCCCGGCCCTGGGGGGACATCACCGTCCCAGGGCAGATGGAGGGTAGCTCTGACCCTCCTCTTCCTCACGCCGGGCAAAGCGGGAGGCGGCTGATGCCCGGGAAGGAGAGGACAGATTGCAGGCAGCTCTGGCTCTGCTGGCACCAACCCCTGCGGGACCCCCGCCCCGGGACCCTCTCCAACACCCCACAGCTGCCGGGCCTCCGGCAAGAGAATAAAACTCAAACTTGCTGCCAAAGCTGGGGGGAAAAAAAAAAAAAAGCAGCCCAAAATGCAGCGACAGCAAAACTCACAAGCGGCAAGGCGCTGCCTGCACCCCCCTCGGACCCCAAAGTGGCCCCGGCTGGGGGGTCCCCACCTCCCCCCAAGCAGGGTGTGAGCACCAGGAGAGGTGACGGCCACAGCCCCCGCGGGACAGACCCAGCTCCTCGCTGGTGTGGCAGAGCTGCCTCCCCGCTCCTTACCTTGCTGGGCAGAGCAGGCAGGGCGGGCAGGGCTAGTTCATGGACTCTGGGCAGTCGACACGAACAGCAGCCCGGAGCGAGCGGCGGGAGCTGCTGGCTGCCCCGCGGAGGCAGCCCGACTTCCCTTTTCCTCTCTGAGAAATGCAACCACTTCCTTACGTGGGCGTTGGGGGAGTGCAAAGCAGCTCGGCGGCCGCCCTGCCCCTGCCTGCCTGCCTGCGGAGCCAGGCCTCTCCGCCATCACCGCACGTGGATGGGCCACCGGCCCCGGGATGCTCCCGGCAGCCCCCGCTGCTCGGCGGGATGCGGGTAACTCGCCCCGGGTGCACCAGGGAAGGATGTGGACAGGAAAGCGGAGGGGAAGGAGCCCCGTCCTCTCCCTCCGGCTGCAGGAGGGTTCTTCGACCCCCAGTCCCCGATGCGTTTCGGGGGGACGAATGCAGCAGCAGGGCCCTGCCTGCCGGTGCTGGCCCGCAGCAGGCAATAGCTGCAGTCGGAGCCCTCCCGGGGCGAGACGTGCGTCAGCATCGCCTCCCACTGCTGGGGAGATTCGCAGCTCAGCAGGACCCCGCGGTGCCTGGATCCGGCCGCCCTGAGCAGCAGCTGCTGCTGGTCCCTGCATCCCACTGAGCCCAGTGGGACTCAAGCCCAGGCTGGCTGCAGTCACAGCTCTGCTCATCCCAACGCACCACGCGTGCACCCCCACCTACCAGACATGCGCCCCTCTATTTTTTTCCCTTCCTGCTTCTGAGCAACTAATTTTCATCCCATTCCCGGCCGGGCAGGGTAACTCCCAGGAGCTCAGCTCCTGCTGGAAGTGCTGGGAAGGAGAGATGGGCTTCAGCTCCTTGCTCCCCTGCTGCAAGCTGGCTGCAGAGTCACGCGTGGAGGGATGCACTCGCTCCTTCCCTCCCCAAGTAACGTCGCAGAAGCGGGACAGCAGCGCACTGGGGTCTCGTACAGGGAGGGCAGGGCCCCGATGGGGCTTCTCAGCTGCAGGATGTGGATACAAGAACCTCGTATTTGCTGAGCTGCAGAATTAATCCCCATGTGAGGGGTCAGCTGTAGATAAAGGCTCCGCGGGGTGGCACTGAGCAGGCAGCTCATCTCTCCCTTGGTCCTCAAGTCTGTTAGCCATGCTCCCCTTCACGCGTGTTGCCGTGATCCCAGCAGACACACGTGGAGATCCCGAGATGTCCCCGGAGGGTGGTGGGTCTCTGCGGCTCTGGTCAGGAGTGAACCCCCACAGTGGGAAAAGTCCCTCTCGGAAGCAGCGAGCTGCCCCGTCCTCCGGCAGCAGTTTGCCCATTGCAGCGCCCAGCCTCACCCCCAGCATCGCTGCTGCCCCAAATGCAGCAAGAGGGACGCAGCTCCCACAACAGCTCCCACGTGGCTGAAAGCTGCAGCTTTTTGAAGTTCTTCCTGCTGCCTGCACATTTTCTCTAGTCCTCCTTTGGCTACGAGCTGCTCTGCCTCCGCTCTTCACCAGGAGAGTTCAGGTTTTCCAGGTGCCCGACCACTGCCTCCTGCTCCAAGACCAGCAGCTCTCCTCCGTCTGGGATGGGAGGACGCGGGGCAGGAGACCATCCCTCTGCCCATCCCTTCACATCAGATCCCTTCCAGGCAGGGATGCGAATGAACGGTAGGTCAGTTTAACTTCTGCAGTAGGGCTCAGGGTACGTTATTAAGAGAAGGGAGAGGAGAGCGTCACCTCTAGCGCTGCCTGCACAGCGGTTCCTTGCCTGCCATCGCATTTCCTCATCGCTTCTGGTCTTGAGGCTGCTCCTGCTTCGGCTCCTCTCTGAGCCTGCACTAACCAAGCACAGCGAGCTGCCGCCACCGGGGATGCACTGGTTTTGAACGCTGCTTGGGTTTCCCCTGGACTCGACAGCCCACGGAAGAATAAGCCAGCACTGCGGAGGCCAGGGACGAGGGCTCAGCCCTGCTGGGTCTCTTGCCAGATCCGACTCAAGGTTTGGCTAAATCCTTTACCTGCTTTTGCCTCCGTTTTCTCAAGTGGAAAGATCCTCCTGCATCCACGGCGGCAGGTCTTGTGATGCTCAGCTCCTCCGCAGGCTGTAGAAAACTATCCCATTGCACAGGTGCTGGTGACGCCAGAACGCTTTTTTGCTGGGGTTTTCTTTGGAGGTGAGGCAGAGGGGATGAAAAGTGGCAGCGATTCTGCCGCTTCTTTTCATTTAGAGGCTGAGGAGTTTTTCAGGCAGGCTCCAGTGAACGGTCTCTGGCACCCCTGCTTGCGTAGAGCCCCATTTCTCGCCCCCAACAGTCTGTTAACTGGCATGTAACGTTGAGCATATGCAGCCAGCACCTATCCTGCAATGAAGACTGCAACCACGAGCTTCATTGTGAACGTCGCTTTCAGAGGCACCGTTAACCCGAGCGCATACAAGCACGTGCTAAGAAGCCTGGTGCTGCGGTTAGCTAAATACGCTAGCGAATTCTCACCCACGCTGGACACAAAGGACAGTGTTACAGACGGGGGAGGCGACCAAGGAAACGGTAGAGGCAAAACAACCACCTACCTTCACCACGGCTCCCAGACACTGGAGGTGGGATGGCAGCAGAACGTCCTCCCGGAGCGGAGCGATGGCCTGGAAACCCAGAGAGCCACCATCTCCCACCGTCGGATGGTGCACAAGGCGCAGAGCTCTCCCCGGCCCCTGCGCACGGGGCAGTTTTAAGTTGAATTATGCCTTGAGCGACGGTTGTTTATATTCCCCTTGCTCAGTCCTTTTCTATTATAAATATCTCCAATCTGTTTTTAATCTCAGACTTCCAGCTTACATATTTCTCTCAGACAGTAACCTACAGCAGTTTCATCAAACCTCAGTTTGTTGGCGTTTTGGAGCAAACGGGCTCATTTTACCGTCTCCAACTCTTTCATGCAGAAAAAGAACAAGGCATAAAAATTTAGAGATCCATTTTCTCCACCCTCTCATTAGATTATTTTTTCCATCCTTTTCTATTGTTTGGACCATATATTTTAGAATCCATTTTTTTAAATGCTTTTTGGAAATAAACCACTTCCAAAAAGTGACTTCAGAAACAAAGTCATTCCTGTCTGTGAGATATCAGCATCTAATAGTACGTACAGAGATGGACAAAGCCAAACCCGTCCTCCTCGGTCCACCCGCCAAGGCTGGCAGGGTGACTTTGATCCAGAAGACACTTAACTCCATTAGCATTGTATCCTAGCTGATAAACCCAACCCCACCGCAAGTCATGGTACACATCAGGTCACTGGACTGCAAGATGAGTAGAGGTTAAGCAGCCACTATTTTATGTTTAGAAGGGAGAGGAAATTGCAAAGCCACGCTTGACTGCCAGGGGAGGAAGGTGGGAGACGCAAGAAAACCAGAAGGAACTGGAAAAACAGTCAATTCTCTGCACGCAACCAACATTGCACCTGAAAATGATCCAGCTCTGTGATGGACACAGTTCGCTCGCAGCAGCACAACAGCAGCTGTCAGCTTCGTGAGCTTACCTTCCACCCTCCCTTTTCAATCACTCGGAGCTGAGAAACCAGCAGTGTACAAAGCAACTCTGGTTCCAGAGGAAGTGGTAAATTTAGTCACTGGGTTTTTTTAAGACACTTCTGCATTTTCAACAGAAATGACAAAGTCTTAAACCTTGTAAAGCAATGCTGTGAGCCAGATAATCCCCTCCAGAGCACAGCCTGTCTCAAGCCTCAAGGCAGCCATACAGTTAAGAGTAACTAGACCGTGTGAATAAAACAAGTTACGTGCAAATGCCTCCGTGAGCTACCGAGGCTCAGAACTGAACTTCAAAAGATACAGTCACCGGAGACAAAGGATCTGCCTGCACAGAAGCCAGACCATGCCGATACCTCTGATAAGTGTGCCTCATTTCTCCACCAGTCATTATAAACACAGAATTTTACAGGCCGAGCACTCGGCTCTAACACGACATGCAGGCCTGCGTAGCTTCATGGACTTAAAAAGTGATTTGCTTTTAATTTGTCCCCCTAAGGTCTGGCTCAGCAGATTTTTGCCTCACTTTCCACAGGCAGCCTTCCACCCCGTATCCTAGGCACTGCACTGTGAGAAGTCTTTGTACAAATCCTAAAAGGTAACTACAAATAATTCCTGTCATTCGCCTTTGGAAAACTACGACCCGCTAAACGAACAATAAAAGAGACATTCAGGTTAATTTGCTATTATTACTGGATTAAGTGCTAGGCAGACAGAATTAAGAGTAGTAGGACAAAATTGTTCATCCTCCAAAATCATCACCTCAAGAGAACAACTCCCCTGAAAGAAGCCCAGCTGAATCTTCACGTCCAGATCATCAGAACTCCAGGTCTTCATCTGTCAACTTTAAGAAACTTTCAGTTAAGATGAACTTTTCCTGGTTTAAGGCCATAAAATATCAGTGCAGGGTTTTCCCGCTCTCTCTCTCTCTCTCTCAGAGTTAATTCCCTTAACTTCCCTTTTTTAATCACTGCTAATGAGCATCAAAACAAAGAATCAGTTTTTCTTTTTTTTATTATTATTATTTCTAGCAGACAATTTACATAAAATTCCCCTTTTAAGTTAGTGATTCATAACTTCCTGCAATAAACTACTTAAGGCAGCTTTGGGGTAAAAAATGGAATGAAACAACCAACCAAAAAAAAATAAAAAAGAACAATCACAGCTGATTTTGAAACCAACACAATTCACCAAATTTAGATTCAAAAGAAAATCTGCCAAGCTGTATTTTCTCAGTGTTTCCAAATATTCCACCTTCCTCCTCCCTTTTCGGGTTTGTGCAGATGTGGGAGCTGCATTCTGTCAAGCAGTTTGTCCTGCTAGATCACGGAAATCCATCTTTACATGATTCGTAGACCTTGAATAGAGGACTCTAAGGTCTTGAAAGAGAGGAAAATCTTAATCACAATCTGCTACGGTATCCTGTGTTAAACAGTTCAGTGTAAATGCTGATGCTAAGAAAAACAAGTAAAAACCCTGACTACTTGAGATTAGACA